GCAAGTCAAGTCGAAGCGGAGAGATGTTCAATCCACCCAAACCGGAACCACAACCACCAAAACCACCACAACCACAACCACAACCACCAGAAACAGCAGCAATAACACCCCACACACAACGACAACAACGGAGAAGGAAGGAAGGAAGGAAGGAACTCTCGTTTTCAGGCCAGGACGGCGCCGGCGGGTTGGTCATTGTGGAATATGGGCAAGGAGCTGGTGCGCATAGTTGAAAAAGCCGGCAGCGGACGAGAAGGCCTCCTTGTCGCTCTGGCTGGTGTACTTGTCGGTGAGCTTGGCGCGGCAGGTGCGCTCGAGCGTCTCGATGGCCTCGAGCACGGCCGCAGCACGCAGCTCGGCGACGGGGACGCGGCGCATCTCGCTCACCCGCAGCTGCTTGGGCTCGAGCAGCGTCGTCACACTGATCGCGTTCGCCGCCTGCTCAAGCGTCCCCAGCGCGTCGCGCATGTTCGGGTGCAGCTGCATGTTGTGCTTGGCCCAGTCCATCAGATCCTGGACCGTCAGCAGCTTTGGCCGCTGCTCTGGAACGAACGTCGTCGGCATCCCACAGCACGCGCGCCACATTTTGTACAAACGGGTGGAATGGAGCTCACAGAGAGAGAGATAGAGAGGACTACACTCCAAGTGAGCATAAGAAGATTCAGATGGTTGTTGTGGAGTGCAGTTAAACAAAAAACAAAATCAAGTGCTGAGCGCATTGGCAGCTGAGTGTGTTGCTCAGAAACTACCGGATTTTGAAGAATCGAATCGACCGCCAACTCCCGCTCCTGTACTCCCCCCTTGTCGCCCCCCCCCCCGATTCGCCCCTCAAAACGTGTTTGCCATTGAATTCCGAATCGAGGTGGTGCATCTCATTGGGCCAGAGATTCAAAAAACTCGAGTCAAATTCAGGAACGGCCGATTCAGCCTGCAATCACACTCCAACGATCCCACTACAGTACAATCATGAATTGTTTGCTTGATTTTCGTTCTACTTTGACTCACTCTTTTTTTTTTTTTTTTGATCTCTTTGCATTTCGCAGCAGAAGATGAAGCGCGCGAACGACGATCAGCCTGAATCGGAAGCAGTTGAGTGCAAAACTTGGATGAACGCGATGAGGAAGAAGAAGCCCCAGCAGTCTGCGATTGCTCTGCTTCAGCAAGCTGAATGGAGAAGCAAGAGAGAGAGAGAAGGAGAAGGAGAAGGAAGAGTAGCGGAGAGAGCGAGAGTAAGGGGTCGGGGGAAGTGGAGTCCACATGGAGCAAAGCGCTCTTCCACAGCCACAGACTGCGACGACACACGTCACTCACACGTCTGCATCTATCTTTGCATTATGTGGTGACCAGCAGCCGTCCAAGCGCGGACGCGGTGAAGACGACGTCGCTGCTGCTGACGATGCCGCGCCAGAGCAAGACGCTGCTGCTGCTGCTGCTGCTGCTGGAGCAACGGACGACAAGGACGGCTCAGCCGGTCCCAGCCGCCGCAAGCAGAACAAGCGTGCGTACCTCGACAACAAGAAAAACCGAAAGCTCCGCCAGCAGAAGGAGCGAGCCGCCAAGAAGGCCGAGGAGGGCATCCCTGCCGATCCTGCCCAGCGCGCAGAGTACCATCGCCACCAGCCCATCGAGATGACCAACGCTCGATTCGAGGCGTTCTACAAGGTAAATGAAGTTGCTGATCTCCATTCCGGCTGTCGGATTGCCTGGTAGAGTGTTTGGGCCAAAACACAACGAAGCTCACTTTTTCCCACTGCTTTGCCCTCCCAACATCCAAAAAAATCCTGCTTGTCTCTTGTGTGAATCGCTAGGGCCTGTCCCAAATCATCCCGGAGAACGAATGGGATGCTTTCATGGAGACGATTCGCAAGCCGCTGCCGACCTCGTTCCGCATCACTGGCAATTCCAAGTACGCCAAAAGAGATGGACGACGCTTCATTGAGTGTTTCCTGTTACTGACTGCTGTGTTATTGTTGGTTGAATTGCGCGTGTAGGAAAGCAGCCGAGATGAAGCGCCTTTTGCACCAGTTTTACTTCCCGTCCATCGAAACTGTCGAGATTGCTGGCGAGCGTGTGTCCCGCCCTGAATGTCTCTCCTTCTACCCCGACGAGCGCGCATACCAGCTGGACACTTCGCGAAAGATCTTCCGCAGCCATCCTGCGCTGAGCGCCTTCCACAAGTTCCTGACCGTTGAAGTCGAGATGGTGAGTTTGTCCTAGATCGCACTCGACAAATGTGCTGAGCGCGTGCGCTCACATGTCTCTGTTCGCATGCTCCTTCCGGTACAGGGCAACTTTTGCCGTCAAGAAGCAGTCAGCATGATCCCTCCGCTCTTCCTTGACGTTCAACCTCACCACAAGGTTGGTGGTTGTTTGTGAGGGTTGTCGCTCGTTCGCTGTGTCAGTCACTCACAGTGCAAACTCCTTCCTTCAGGTCCTCGACATGTGCGCTGCACCTGGATCCAAGACTGGTCAACTCGTGGAAATGCTTCACCAGAATGACGAGCTCATGCCCTGTATGCATTGTGGCTTGCTCTGAGATGGTAGTTGAACTTGCACTGATCTCTGGACTCGTGTGTCCTTGCAGCTGGATTTGTTGTTGCAAACGATGCAAACTACAAGCGCTGCTACCTGCTGATTCACCAAACCAAGCGTTTGTGCAGCCCCTCGCTCCTTGTGACCAACCTCGATGCCTCGCTCTTCCCGACCATTCTTCCTGGCAACCGCCAGCCCCCAGTGCTGTTTGATCGCATTCTGTGCGACGCACCATGCAGGTAACATTGCGCGAGACAACTTGCAGCAGATGTCAAGCTCCTCTGCTGAAGTTTGTTGATTGGCTGAACTTTGTCCTGGGCTTTGTGTACTACGACAGTGGCGACGGTACCATGCGAAAGAACTTGGATGTCTGGAAGAATTGGCGCCCGTCGAGCGGCTCCAACATGCACCGACTGCAGATTCGCATTCTCCGTCGCGCAGTCCAGCTGCTGGAAATCGGCGGCATGATGGTCTACTCGACCTGCTCCATGCACCCTGGCGAAAATGAGGCTGTGGTTGCTGCCATTTTGCAGCAAATGCCCGGTGCGCTTGAGCTCGTTGACGTCTCGGACAAGCTGCCCGGCCTGAAGCGAATCCCTGGTCTTCACACCTGGAAGGCAAGTGCAGCGGTCTCAAAAGTTTGCGAAAGGGACAAAAACAAAAAAAGCCACCCGCACTCATTCGCTTGTGCTTGACAGCTCATGGACGGCGAAGGTAACTGGTACAGCGATGCCTCCGAAGTTCCGGTCGGTCACAAGGAGAAGCGCGCGTTGCGAGGTTCGCTCTTCCCCCCGCCGCCAGAAGTGGCTGCTGCCTTGCATTTGGAGCGCTGGTGAGTGGTGGCTGCTGCATTTGCTTCACTTCTTGCTGCTGGGCGCTAATATTGCCGATTGTTGATTCGGTTTCGATAGCGTGCGTGTGACCCCGCAGTTGCAAAACACTGGTGGCTTCTTTATTGCCCTGCTGCGCAAAACCAGCTCTGTCGTCAAGTTCTTTGCCACTCCTGGTGGCCGGCCTGCTCGTTCTGCCCCTTCTGATGCCAAGGCTGACGAGGCTGTTGGCGAGGTATGTTCGTCGGCTGACGTCGCGCTCGGCTGTGAGCTGTGTCACTGATTTTCTCTATCGCTTTGCGCTGTCCGAGTAGGTCATCCCTGAAGACGCTGTTCCGATTGTCGGCGAAGACGAGGAGGACGAGGCCGAGGATGCGGCGGACAAGGCTGCTGCGGCTGCGGCTGTGGCTGGCGACAATGCCGATGATGACGATGCTGCTGCCCCTGCTGACGATCAAAAGGAAGTGGCCATGCATGTCGAGACCGTTTTCCCCAAGAACACCCGCACCGAGGCTGGATATTACTTCCTCACCCCTGAGGATCCCGTCGTGAAGCTCATTGTGTAGGTTTTAGAGGGTTGTTTTTTCGATGTGACGCTCTCCACTAAAAGAAGTTGATCTCACCTTTGTTCTGTAGTGATTACTTTGACATTTCGCCCGAGTTTGATGTCACCAAGCTCGCTTCCCGGTCGGAAGCTGGAAAGCGCACCATCTACCTTGTCAATGACTCGCTCAAGCAGGTCATGAACGCCGTCAACGCGTCCAAGCTGAACGTAAGTTGAGGTTTGCTGTCAGGCTGTTTCTCAGAGAATGCTCCTTGCTCATTCATTGCCTGTGCCTGCTGTATGGATGGATGAAACGCATGCAGCTCATCATGTCCGGCGTCAAGCTGTTCGAGAAGGCGTCAAGCACCAACGGTCGCTTCCCGTACCGCGTGACGAACGACGGCGTACAGCTGATTCTTCCCTACCTGCGAAAGCGTGTCGTCCACATGACCTATCCCGACGTGCTGGTGATTGCTAAGGGCGACCGCACTCCCTTCTTTGATCGCATGGCACCCTCGACTCGCGAGCAACTGCAAGCTCTGGCTGCTGTTGGTAAGCGCGCATTCAAGGCAGCGTTCGCTTTTGGAATGATTTGCTCGTGTGCCACGTTCTCACTTGCGCCTTTCTCTTGGTTTTTCACGCACTCTTTACAGAACAAGGCGCCGGTGTCTTGGTCTTTGATCCTCAACTCAACCCGCACCCCGAGTAAGCACTTTGCTGAGATTGTTGTTGCACTACGAATTCAGTAATTGACTTGCGATTGTCCTTTACAGTAACACCGAAATCGTCGAGCGGGTCTGCATTTCTACTTGGATTGGCAAGGTCTCGCTCAACGTTATGGTGAGCAAGGAGGATATGGCATCGCTCAAGAATCTCATCGTCGGTACGTGTTTTGCTTTGCTTTGAGCACCCGTTTTTTTGTTTATGTTCAACAGCCGTCTTACCGCCTTCCCCCCCCCCGCCTTGATCATTCTAGTTCCCGACTTGGCTGCTCTTTCTGCTACTGCCGCTACCACCGACTCCACCGCCTCGTCCGAAGCTGCTCCGATGGATGTCGTTGCAGAGTAGAACTTGTTGATTGTCGGTGATGCTGGGCAACGTGGAACGTCATCATTCAAATAGAATCGGTTTTCGTATGGATGGCTGGGCATGCTTATATTCGGGCAACGTGATGAGCTCCATGAACGATTCGTCCAAGAACAGTTTGACATGACCTGAAAAGGCGGGGTTGAATAAATAGAACGAAAGCGCGAAGCTGGTGCGGCAGGCTGATGCACCTCATGTGGTCTAGCTGCGTAGCTTTTCAACTTTGATGTGAACCGCAGAGTTGCTTCGCGTTTGACTTTTCGACGCAACGTTCTGAATGGATTGGGAGAAAAGGGGTGAGGAACAAAACCAACGGGATGAACCACTCAGCACCAGCAAGACGCGAATTGAAAGTCCTCCTCACCTTCGCTTTGGGCTGGAGATCGTCTGTTAGCTCTACGGTGGAAGTGGTGGTGGACAGCACGAGCGGCGCCATGTACTGCTGTTGTAGTTGAAGGGCGAGATTGATGGCTCGGTTGATGGAAGCGCCCAGTCCGTGCAGACAAATCTCAGAGTATCTAATCGCGATGCATTGCATTCACATGGATGGATGAGTGCCCTCAGGTGCCAGCCTGCGCTGAACAACGACGACAAGGACAGGGGCACATGCGATGCAAAAGGAACGATCGCCCACTCACCCAGAGTCGAGCAGCTTCTGTGCCCGTGCAAACTGTGCATCAAAATGAGTTGATCGAGTGACATAGATGTCGTTGGGCCGTGTTGGCAGGCGCTGCGGGGCGCGTTTGACGGCGTTGTCTGTCAACAGTCAGCATTCAGTGAATGGGCGCCCGTCGTCTCCGCTCTCTCTCGATCTCCTCTCTTGAGTAAAAGTAGAGACATGTCTTGTTTGATGATCAAAATGGCGAACAAGAGCGAATGGGAAGAGCTCGTTTACATAGCTGTGCGTCGTCGTATTCGCTATTGTCGACCTCCATTCATCGAGATTGTGGCAAAAACGACTGGTTCGAGAATGGAGAACTGATACAGCCAAAGCTATTAGACTCCGAAAAGACGCCGAGCGTCACTGGAGCAAAAGAATCGCAATGAAGAGAGAAAAAGAAACGCTCTGAGCAAAAAACAAAAAAAAAGAGTTACAACAAGCAGTATTCCCGCGTGGTCTCCCACCGCAGTACTAACTACTCTCATGGTGGTTTAACTTCGCAGAGCGGAACGGGATGCGGTGCATTCCACCAGATATGGCCGTAACTGAAATGCAGTAGTTGGGCACTGGCGTCTTATCGTGCAGACAAGCGATCACAAGCATGCAAAGACTTTGATCGTGCGAATTGCCTGGTAAATCCCAAGGTTGCAGCTTTCTGATGCTCGAATTTTCATCACTGCCAACTCGTTCACGATAAGCGGGGGGCATGGTTTAGGCCCCTTGAGCAACGAAGTGACTCACATCACAGGCTCTCGTTTTCGTGTTGAGCGGCAAAATGACTCGAGTTTGGTCATCCTGCCCGTCGATTTTGCAACGGAATCGTTTTCTGATGTGTACTACGTTTGGTCCATTCATTCATTTTTTTTTTTCTTTGATTTCCTTCCTGGTGAACAAATTGGTGTGAGTCCGACCCCTTGGCGAGTCAGCGGCGGTGCGAAGATGCCATTCAATTCAACGTTGGGACTGCAGCGAAGCGAGCAGCGTGCGTGCGCAGACAACTGCTCTCCACTGCGTAGTGCTGTGCTCGAGCACACTGTGTGTCTTGCCAACAGAGCGAGCGTTGGGAGGGGGCGGACGAAGCGCCCACAGCTCTGCCTTTCAGCCGGTTCAGATCGATAAAAAAAAAAAAACAGAGCCAAAATAGTCGCAAGCCAAAAAAAAAAAAAAAAAAAAAAAAAAAAAAAAAAAAAAAAAAAAAAAAAAAAAAAAGGAGCAGCGACCCAATGCTCTTTGTCCTTGTGGGCACGCAACGCCTTCAGAATGCGCTGGTCAAGGGGGTGTTGGAGGTGGCCAAATGACTGTGGGAACTGCTGGAGGAGATACGCAGTCCATGTATGGCGAAAGGGGGGTGTCTGGGCGGAGAGCAGCAAAGGGCGTGCATTGTGCATTGTGTAAAGAAAGCAGAAAATGCAAACCCGCAGCATGTTAGTGGAACGAACGCGGCACTCTCAAAACCCCCCCCCAACTCCACATCCTTGGAATACGAGCAATCGGCGTGGTGCGTGAGAGCCGCCAGGATGAGTGAAGAGTGCGGATGGCGTTTGTGTGGAGCGAGAGAGGGGAAAAGCGAGGAATACCAAAGCTGTGGTTCAATACAAAACAAAAAAAACAAAACAAGGCAAAATACAAAAATCAAAAATCAAAAAAACATCAACTTCTTCGTTATTGTCGAGGTTCGAGTCGTAGGGCAACTTGTGCAGTGATTTTGCAATTCTACAAGTTGTAATGGGCCGTGGACAAACGTAGTAGGATTGCACGTGTGCTTGTTGGAACACCGCTGCATGAAAACTAAACCAACACCCCCACGAACATCGCGCCACATTTTGACAAAAAGAAAATCCCTTTTTTGCTGCCGTCACATCGTAGATCGAGGCGCTCACACAGTTGTTGTTGGAATGATTTTTGTGATCAACAGACCGATGCGGATTTTAAAGCTGCCGCTGCTCGTGGCGGCTGTCGCGCTGGCAATGCAGCTTCCGGACGTCGCAAACGCGCAGTCCAACGACTGCCACACTGCGCCACTGATCGATCCGAATGCTAATATTACGTTTTACACAACTCCGTCAACCACCTACCCGTGTATGGATGACAGTAGTCAAAAATGCATGGTTTGGAAAATCAGGAGCTCCACTCCTTTCCGCTTCTCAGTCACGTCGTGCGGATTTATGGCGGATTCATCGATGGCAATTCGAACCAACTGCGGCACTGGGCACTTTGGAGACTCGCCATACCTCCAGTGGAATAACAATATCGGTGTTGGCTGCGCACCAGCTTACGGCGCATCTGCAGTGGATTTGGACATCATTGCCGACACGGACTACTTTTTCAGTCTCGGTGGACCGTCCTCGTTGCCAGCAACGGGGGCTTTCGGAAAGGAATATACCTGCCCAGCCGGATCAACGGACCACGACGGATTGTCCGACACTGTTAAACACTATGCCACTCCGTGCGTCACCTGCTCGCCTGGTCAGTACGTTCCTGCTGCGTCAGTCGGACCTTGCACAAATTTCCGCTGCGCAGTCGGCACTGTCGATCACGACAGCGACCCATCGACGCCCTGCCTCGTTGCTGGCCCTGGCAACGACACGACCATCGCTGGGTTGTATGGTCCCATCGCCAACTTTAAAGTCGTTGCTGGTCGATACGACGACGACAGCAATCCATCCACTGCCTCGATCGCCTGTCCCGCCGGCAACTACGCACCCGTGGGCAGCACGACCTGCACAGCCTGCGCTGCTGGTACTTGGGATGACGATGGCACATCGGCAACCGCTTGCACGAATTGCACCGAATGCACGCTCGGCTCCACCTTCGAAACCATCGCATGCGCTGCCACTGTCAACCGAGTGTGCTCTAATTGCGTCACATGCACTCAAGGACACTACCCGAACACTGAGTGCACTTTGACATCCACCGCCACAGCGTGTGACGCGTGCACTCCCATCACCAATTGCTCGGCCACCGGTCTGACATGCGTCTCGAGCGCGAGCCAACAATGCAGCCTGTGTCAGGATGGAAGTTACGTGTCTGTTCAAGGAACGTGCGAGCTGTGTACCATCTGTGGCTCGGATACCTACGAGACAAGGGCCTGCGATGGTGTGGTCAATCGCGTGTGCGCCAGTTGCACGACTTGTGGGTCTGATCAGTTTGAAACAGGGGCTTGCGGTGGCACAATCAATCGTGTCTGCTCGAACTGCACCAGCTGCGGCTTGGATCAGTATGAAACAGCGGCTTGCGGCGGCACTACAAATCGTGTCTGCGCGAATTGCACAAACTGTGACTCGACCCAGTACGAGACGACTGCATGTGCCGGTGTCGTCAACCGCGTCTGCTCTGCTTGCACTGTTTGTGGCGCCAACGAGTTTGAAACGACTGCGTGCGATGCACTCGTCAATCGCGAGTGCTCCACTTGCACCACTTGCACGGTCGGCCAGTACGAAGGCGCCGATTGCATGGCTACCACCAACCGTGTCTGCCCTGCCTGCAGTGAGCTTCCTGGCTGCACAACTGGTCTGCGCTGCACCAACAGCACGGATTCGATTTGCATCGACTGCAGTTCGTGCCCGCGGGGTCAGTACGTGAACGCCACCTGCACCAATGTGCTCGATCGCGTCTGCCACAACTGCACTGCACTTCCAGGCTGTCCGGCGTCCTACACTGTCTGCAGCGCGTATGGGCACAGTACCTGCGTCGCACCCGAGACGAGCACGTCCATGCCAGTGTACATTCCGGTTGTCGCTGCCGTCGGAGGGCTGTTGGTGCTGGTTCTTTTGGTGGTTTTCCTGCTGTCTCGGCGTCGCACCCGCAAGCCAGCTACAGCTGTGGAAATTCCAATTGAAGAGATTACCATGATGACAATCAACACCATGGTGCTCGACCCGAAGGAGCATCGTGCGTCTCAGTACGAAACACTCAACGGGACGCGTGGAGGTGGCAATGCCGTTGTTTATGACGTGCTGGGGAGATCGCAGTGGGAGGATCCTCAAGCTGCCGTCGTTCCGTCACGCAGCCTCAAGCCTTCGCTTGCGACCTCCGCACCGGAGACACACTACGCTGTGCCATCGCAACCGAAAGACGACATGGTTCCTTCTCGGAGCCTCAAGCCTGTGCTTGCGGGCGACGCGGGTCCGACGAGCCACTACCAAACTGTTCCACCACGGCCTGCCAAACGCGAGTCGGAAATCGTGTACACGAACGCTGATTTCTCTTAGTGTGTTGCTTTGAATATGTGAGAGCGTGTGTGTGGGTGAGCGAGTCTTGAAATAATACAAATGAACTGTTCTTTGGTCTTGAGCGAGTCGATTTAAAACAATAACAACTGAAAAAGTTACAACAAGCAGTCTTCCCGCAGTACTAACTGCAGAGCGGAACGGGATGCGGTGCATTTCCACCAGATATGGTCGTAGATGAAGTACAATATTCCAAGGCTACGCGATTCAATCTCACCCAGAATCTACTCCGTCGATGATTTGGAATGGCAACAGTTGAAGCCTCATCAACAAAGCGCCAAAAACAACACAAAACAAAAAAACAAGAAGTAAAAGAAAGAAAAAAAAGTGGAAGAATAAAAAGTGAGTTACAACAAGCAGTATTCCCGCGTGGTCTCCCACCGCAGTACTAACTACTCTCATGGTGGTTTAACTTCGCAGAGCGGAACGGGATGCGGTGCATTCCACCAGATATGGCCGTAACTGAAATACAGTAGTTGGGCACATTGTTTATACGCGAAAAAGGGGAATGAGCGATAAAAATCGACAGAGTCGGGGAAAAGTGGATTTATCCATCAACATGAACTGTGATAATGATGCTTGTATATTTTATCATCTCTTCTCTGCTCGTGTTGATAGACTCTGTTGCAGAACAGTGCAGCGGTGCTGGAGTCTGGGAGATCTGAACCAAAAAAAATCTGGCCACAAATTGTCGGATTTGGGGCTCCGTTGTGCGCAATGGGCGCTTGGAAACCCGGCTGTACGATATCAGATCAGCTGATAATATCATTTCATTTCGAAGTCCATGTCAATCTGCTCTTTGGGCAGCGTTCGTCTTTCGCCAGACATCGAGAAGAGTTCAGAATGCTGGACCTTGTTTGTGAAAGAGCTCCAGATGTCGGTGTCCGAGAAAAGGTGGTGCAGATTTGTAAGTTCAATTCACTGAAAGTATGTTGGTTGGTACTGTGGTTGTGGCTGATCTGGAACTGGATGGCAGTGCGCTGAAGTCCAGAATCATTTACCCTGCAAACGTATCATCCCGGGCTGCCTTTTTGGCCAAATTTGTTTTCGCACAAACATCAAAGAGCCATCAGCCCAGCACCCGGCCGAGGTCTGACAATAACCAAACTACAAAACCACGATAGTGAGGAGCTCGGATACGAAACTGGTTCACGCTCAATGTCTCCGAAGCGGATGCAATTGAACGCGACTTGGATTGCAGACACAAACGCCCTTCCCCTACATTTTTTTTCCCGCTTCAGTCGATCACAGAAATGACGAAATACAGCATAGTAGAATCCTATTTCAAATCAGCCTGAGTTCAAATGGAGCAGTCCTGATTTGGCGTCGCCATGAGCGTCGTGAACGCTGCTTCCGTCGCAGTCGCGTTATCGATTGCAGCCTGCGTTACTGGCATCATTGTCAATGACGTACACATGGTCCAGATACTACAGCACCACAGCCCATTGTTTTGCTGGATCTTTGCGATCGTCTATCTCGTAGAACTGGTCGCGATACGATCAAGACGTCGACTATCAATCCAATCCTACACAATGACTGGTCGCGCACCGCCTCTAGTACCGCCCATTCGGCAAGGGCTGATTTGCACAATCGCGTCCATCTTCTGTTTCCACATCGTTTTTGTGTTGATGGGCGCGCCCGTTGTCTTGTAACGTTCATTCATCATCAGAGCGATGACCAAGTGTGTGACTGATCCTGGCTCGGCTGCCCGTTCGTACTCACCCACTCGCGAATTTCCCCCCCCCACTCTCCGCAGCAACATGACCAAGACGGCTGCATTGGCTGCCATGCTGGCTGCGCTAGCCGTTGGGCCAACAGCTCTGAATTTCGGCTTTGCCCAACCGCCGCACTCAGCTGCGACAACGTCCACCCCCACAAACGTCCTCGACGCACTAATATACACGTTCTTCAAGTAAGTGTCCATGGTCACTCGATACCGAAACAGAGGAACGCCCGCGTACCATTAACGCATTCATTTGCCTTTGGTGGTGTTGATTTCATAGTGACTCTCCAGATATCACCGATGCCAAGCTCAGCTTCTGGTCTGCATGCATCGGTGCTTGGCTCGGTGCCATCCCAATACCGCTCGACTGGGACGCCTGGTGGCAGGTAACAAAACAGGGCGATCGCTCCGATGAAATGCGTGAACCAATCCCAAACTGAACGACACACCTGCAACAACAACAAAAATGAATGCACAGGAATGGCCAATATCAGTGTGTTTGGCAATGCCAGCGACAGTGATACTCGCGTGGGTCGCTCGCGCGACGGTCATTCGACCAAAGCTTGACTGATAGTTTTCAGGGCGTCCAAGCTCTGACTCGACACCAAAACTGCCCTACTGATCTTTCAGATCTGCAGCCCTGGCGCAGCCGGCAGCGCGTGTGACTGTTAATCACAAGGTCGACAGTTCGATCCTGTCGGGCTGCGGTTCTCTTTTTTCATCTTTTTTGATTTTTTTTTTTCTGTTGGATTTTTTTTTTTTTTTTTTTGCCAATAATCCATTCTTGTTTTGGTAAATCAACACAATTGCGCAGCGTTCAGCGTTTCCCCCCCCTCATCCATCCACTCGTTCAGCTCCACGTCTTCCCCACTTGAGTCCATCATGCAACCTATCGATTGCCAGGCGGACTGGCTGCTCTCGCTGGAACGCTGTGGGTTTTGCTGGTGTGTGAGAAACCAGCTCGGAAGGACGCCTGACACCCCTCAGCAACTGACGTCGTTCGCAGACGCCTGCCTCGATTGTCTGGTCAGCATGATGGAGGGATTCGAGCACGTCATTTGCTACACAATGGTCCCCCTTTGATGAGGCGGGAGGAAGGGGCAAGCGACCAGCGTGAACAGCGCGTCATCGCAAGGGAGACACTTTCCAAACGCACTCTCGCTCCTACCAACGCAGCTTGACGTCTGACGCAGCAACGCCGGGAGACCGATGCCACTGAGATGAGATCGAGAGGGACTGGTCATCGACACGGCACACATCGGAAGCATGAGTACTCACTTGCACACACACACACACACAGAGACGAACGTAGCGAAGGGAAAAATCTCAAATCGACCTGATTGGATTGTGCGTCGTTCCCAAGCGCCTGCCTCGAACAAAGACCAGACCCGCCAAGTGACGCTCTACTTGACCAGCGAAACGGACTCGAGTTCCTCGCTTTTTGAGATCCGTCTCTGAGCTCTCGGTCGTGAGGGTCGCAGCAAAAAAAAGCGAAAAACCCTTTCTTTCGCCTCTCGACTTGGTCTCTCTGTCTGTGCTCCCATCTGTCTACCACGCACCAACTCGAACAATGTCGGACAAGATGACAATTCAAAGCGCCAAGGTCTACATGGCCCTGCTGACCGACCCCATCCGCGACGGATGGCTTCTGCGGCAGTCCAAGGGTTTTTTTGGAGCCACGACTTGGGTCAAGAAGTGGTACATCATGAAAAACTCGCGGATTTGGTGGTTTGACTCCAAGGATCCGTACACGCAATCCAAGGGCGTGATTGATCTTGCCCGCAAGCCGGGTGGCGGTTACATTGTCGAAATCGTGGACGACCAGGAGGAACTCGAGAAGCTGGGCAAGCAGGAGGCGACCATGTTTCAGCTCACGCACGCCAAGGGAACCGAGCCTGACATTCTGTTTTCTGCCGAGGACGAGCTGGACATGGAGTCATGGGTGCAATGCATCTTGCTCGAAATGTTCCGCGAGTCTCCCATCAACACTGTCTACATGCCCTCTCCAGCCATCACGACCGGGGATTCGCCTGCTGCTTCCTCCAGTGCCTCCAGTGTTGGGCCTGCAAGCCTGGCATCGAGTCAGAACGAACTGGCAACCGAGTCCGACACGCATTCGTCCGAGCGAGAGAAGGAGAAGGCTCGGCAGGATCGCCTCAAGCAACGCCGGCAGGCCGAGAAGCAGCTGATTGAAGAAGACGAGCGCGCCGTTGCTGAAAAGGACAAGGACCGGATTGCCAAAGAGCAAGAGGCCAAACTCAAGGCTGCGGAAGAGAAGGAGGCCAAAGACAAGGCCGACAAGGAGAAGGCTGAGAAGGACAAGGCCGAGAAGGACAAGGCCGAGAAGGACAAGGCCGAGAAGGACAAGGCCGAGAAGGACAAGGCCGAGAAGGACAAGGCTGCAAAGGACAAGGCCGCCAAGGAAAAGGCCGAGCAGGAAAAAGCCGAGAAGGAAAAGGCGGACAAGGCTGCTGCGGCCGCCGTTGCTGCCGCTCCCAAGGCCAACTCTGCTCCTGCCAAGCCCGCGAAAGGAGCGAGCTCGGACACGGGCAAAGCTGATCTGACGCTGTCAGCCAAGGAGCGCGCTCAGATCGAGCAGGATGTCGCTCGCGATCTGGAGCAGGTCGAGGACGAAGCAGCGGAGGAAACAGAGCGTCAGCTGAAAGTACAACACGACAGCGGCGCTTTTGCGGGTGTCCAGCCTGCGGATTTGTCGCTGCGCGAGTCTGCGCTCGAGATGCAGATCATGGAGTCTGCCTTCCGCGCGCGTGCAGTCGAGGCTGCCGAACAAGCCGACGCTGCGCAGTTGCTTGTGCAAGACACCACCGCCTCACGAGCAGATCGTCTTGCTGCCCTCAAAACTGCCACCAAGCTTCAACTGATTGAAACCGAGGCACTGGAGCGCGCCGCAACTGCCATGGATGAGCGCCTCAAGTGCGAAGCAGTCATTTCTCCCGCCAAACCACCGCGCAAGAAGCGTTCGTCTGAGGCAGCCCCAGCCGCAGATCAGGCCCCTCCCCCGAAGCCAGAGCACAAGGCCAAGAGCACCACTTCCAAGGACACTCAGGACAAGGACAAGGAGCTTAAGGACAAGGAGCTCAAGGACAAGGAGCTCAAGGACAAGGAGCTCAAGGAGAAAGAACGCAAGGAGAAGGAGCGCAAGGACAAGGAGGCGGCCGAGGCCAAGGACAAACAGGCCAAGGAGAAGCAGGCAAAGGAGCAGAAGGACAAGGAGCTCGCCATGCAAAAGGAGCAGAAGGAAAAGCAGCTCCAGGCCGAGCGCGATGCGGCGGAGCGCAAGGAACGCGAGCGTCAGCGTCTCGCAGAGGCCGAGCGCAAGCTGGAAGAGGAAGACCGCGCACTGCAGAAAGAGAAGGAAGCCGAACGTGAAAAGGCAGCGGCCGTGTCCCGCAGCGAGGCAACAAAGTCCAAAGCGGCCTTCTGGGAGTCAAAAATGAAAGACCAGGACGGAGATGCTGCGCAAAAGCGTCGCGACGAGGAGCGTGAGCGCATCCGGGAGCAAGATCGCAAGGAAATGGAGCGCGAGAAGGCTGCCGCCAAGAAGTCGGCCGCTGCAGCGGCTGCAGCTGAGGCTGCACCTGCACCTGCACCTGCACCAACGCCAAGCACTACGCATGTTTCTACTGGATCCAATTTCTCTGCCGTCAAGGCTGCCACTGCCAGTATTGACGCGGCCGCCACAAAAGAAGGCTCGCTCAAGCCGCGCGAGATTGGCAGTCGTCCCGTTTCCACTGCTGGCTCAACCTCGTCCACCGCATCTCGGCCCACCTCTACCGTCGGCTCATCTGCAGCAACCGGCGCAGTATCCGCTGGCGACCGCACATCTCGGCTGGTGCCTGTGACCGACGATCCCAGCCTCCCATCCTGCATCAAGTGCGGCAAAAACCTGTCAGGCCAGGTTGTTGAGTTTTCAGGCAGCAACTACCACCTCTCCTGCTTTGGCTGTGCTGGCTGCGGCAGAATGCTCACCAACACGGCGCTCAACATTGATGGCAAGCCTCACTGCGATGGCTGCGGTCGCAAGGCCTTCGTCAAGAAGCAACTGTCCAGCAACCGCGCCAACATTGCAGATGGTGGCGAGGACAAGGACAACATTTCGCGTCCCAGCAGTAAGTCATGCAGGTGGACAGAGGAGAAGAAACGGTGAGAACCTTTTTCGTGTTCCCCAGGCATCTCACATTCGTTTGTACATTGTTGCTGCTCTGGATATTACAGCTTCCACGTCATCGTCTTCTGGTCCAGTGGCCGCCAAGTCTGGCCCAATGTCTGGATTTGCCGCAGTGGCGTCCAAGTTTGGTGGCGGCGCGAGCTCCAACAACAACAGCACCGGCGGTGGCTTCCGCGGAGGCGCGGGCGGCAAGGCCACCGGCAAGGAGGCCCTGCTGATCTGGTGCCAAAGCGTGACCGAAAACCACCGCGGCGTGGATGTCACTGACTTTAGCAAGAGCTGGGCCGACGGCCTCGCCTTCTGCGCCCTGTATCATACATTCTACCCCGACAAAATCCCGTACAGCACACTCACCGCTGAAGATCGCAAGCGTAACTTTGATCTCGCGTTCAGCGTTGGCGAATCTGTCGGCGTGCCCGCTCTGCTCGACACCGTTGATATGCTTGACCTGTACCCCAAGCCAGATTCCAAGTCCATCATGCTGTATCTGAGTCAAGCGTACCGTACGTTACGCGAGCTGTAACAACACGCGAGAATCGCCACATTTTTATCTCTTGTTTGATGTTGATGCAAAAATGGTTTTCATTGCGTTTTTTTTCTTGTTATCTTCCTTTCAAAGTGTCCTTGCTGGTCTTTTTGTTTTGCGTTGCTTTCTGTTTCAAGTCTTGACATTGTACTGCTGTCTGTCACCTTTGTCATCCAAAGCACTTTTGCGTTTTTTTTTTTTTTTTTTTTTTTTTTGCACTTGGTGGCATCTCGTTTGGACAGAATCCAGCGCATGTGATTTGATTTCCAATGCCGGCATTGTTTCGTACCTCTGTGCTGGGATGTGCGTGTTGCGCCGCGTCCCTCTGCGGTTGAACTGCTCCAACAGGTCAAATTTTCCTAATCCTTTCGACTCGGGTGGCAAACGCAGCCGAGAATGTTGACATGTTTGCAAATTTTCCCAACAAATTCTAACGCATTCCCGCCCACCCATCCGCCCGACCACCCTCACAAGAAGCTACGGTATGCTGGTATCAATCGTTCCATTGTATACCACCCAGTTGTTTGGGTGGATCTGATGGCAATACCCTCAACCGCAATCGCTTCAAGATTTTCAACAAAAAGGTCAAAAAGTGCGACTCTTCCCTCCGGTTTTCCATTTTTGTTTGTTTTTGCTTCCTTATCGTTCTTACCTTCAAACCAACCCACAGATTTTGCTCTGGAACTGAATGCATGAATACACGAATGGGATGAAATGCAAAAGTTCACTTTTTTTTTTTTTTTTTTCCAAATGACCAAAGCAAAGCCGACCAAGTTCGCTGCGGGCGACAAGGTTTGGATCCCGGACGAAGGCAAGTGCGCTCTTCAATCAATCATCATCAGCATCATCATTATCATCAGATCAGCATCGTTGGAGTGATTCACCAAACCAACCCCCCACAGTGAATGAACGGAACGCAACAGGAGCGCGGTTGCGGCTTTTCGCGTGGCGCCTCGCTTCACTTCCACACCACCGCCACCGCAACAAGCGTTCGCTTCACAAACAGAACGAAGCGTTTGGGGCCGTGTTGCCTGTTTCGACGAACAGCACGAGTGACGAGCAAAAAGTGGGAGAAAAGGCTTGCAAAATGGCTGCTGCTACATTGTTATTGGCAGTAATGCAATGGCCACCGCTGCCCTCTGACGCTGGCGATGCAGTGGCACCAACCACTTCACTCCTCACCCAACCGCCTGGCGTTCTTGCAGGGGAAGAGTGCGGCAGCGCGTGCAACGAAGCAACGAAACTCAAACAAAAAAACGAATACAAAATTAACAAAAAATTACAAAAAATTACAAAAATTATGAAAATTCCCAATAAAAAAAAAAATCAAAGTACATCGGTTTGGAATTTTTTTAAAACAGTGAATGAACACGACGATCGACAGCTGGATTGGAGAGCGCCGAGGTAGCAATGCATCAAAGAGAGAAAGAGAGAGAGAGAGTGTGTGTGTGGAAGGGAGAGGAAGAGAGAGAGGAGGAGAGAAAAAGCGACAGTTGAAAAGCGAGAAAAGAGAGAATATCGAAAGGGGTTTGAATTTTGCATGTTTTTTTTTTTTTTTTTTTTTTTTTGAAAAGCAAACGATGCAAAATCTGCCAAACCTCAACTCTCACATTCACAGACACAAATTTACACTCGCACTCCGCACTTGTGACTTGTCGACTCACTTTGATCACAACGAACGTAAACACACACTCTCTCTTTGACAGCCGAATGCTACAAGCTGGCAACAATCAAGTCCATCCAGGGCGATGCCGCAAGCGTGTTTGACGACGCGTACCAGGCCAAGGACGTCCCCGTGGCGCAGCTCGCCCCTGTCAACCCTGCGTCCATGGACGGCGTTCAGGACAACACGGAGATGATGCATCTCCACGACCCGTCGCTGTTGCACAACTTGCGCACGCGTTACGCACGTGGCGAAATTTACACGTATACGGCCTACATTCTGATTGCGGTCAATCCGTACAAGTCGCTCAACATTTACGGAAACGACTACATTACTCGCTACACTGGCCAGTCCATCGGCAAGCTGCCTCCGCACGTCTATGCCATTGCGGACCGCGCCTATCGCAGCATGAAGCAGGCCAAGCGCAACCAGGTTTGGCTTTGGTTTGATGCAATATTGTTTCGAATTGAGTCTGTTCCGCTTCTCGCTCACTTTTGAATGGAAATCTGCGTGTGGCGCGTTTGTAAAACTGTCGCCAACAGTCGATTGTCGTCAGTGGCGAGTCTGGTGCAGGCAAGACGGAGACGTGCAAGATCATTATGCGCTACATGGCGGCTGTTGGCGGTAGTGGCCCGATTGGCACCATCGACGAGCTCGAGACCAAGATTCTCGAAGCCAATCCCATCCTCGAGGCTTTCGGCAATGCCAAGACTCTGCGCAACAACAACTCTTCGCGTTTTGGCAAATTCACTGGTACGAGTCTTTTTTTTTTTTCTTCTTGTTGAATGTTGGATTTTGGGAGCTGGGTTTATCGCAACAAAGTGCATTGACTTTATTTCAACGACTCTTTGTACCACAGAACTGCACTTTAACAAGACGGCTCAGGTTGTTGGTGCTGCAATCGAGACGTATCTGCTGGAAAAGTCCCGCCTCATTGCTCAGGCCAAGAATGAGCGCAACTTTCACATCTTCTACCAGCTGCTGGCGGGTCTTTCTGCCGCCGAAAAGACGGTACGCGAAGTGCCTCCTGTTTTGTGTTTTGTGAAGCATTCTTGATTGTCAAGAAGCACCGCGATGAACTTACTTTCTTCTTGCTCCCACACACCTCGAACAACAGAAATTCAAACTGACCAACCCCATCGAAAAGTACCCCTTCCTCGGAAAGAGTGGATGCACCACCATTCCCAATGTGAACGACGCAGCGGACTTTGCCGTGGTCCGTAAGGCGCTGACGGTGCTTGGAATGGGCCCCGCCGACCAGGACCACATTTTCGCCGTCCTGGCGGGTCTGCTCCACCTTGGCAGCATCGAGTTTACCGCCTCGAAGAGCAAGAATGATGCAACCGAGGTGGACAAGGGCAGCGCGGACAGCTTGACGGCCGCCGCCGAACTGCTTGGTTTGGACCGCACCGCGCTTGCCGACCGTCTCGTGCAGCGTGTCATGACTGCTGGCGCCGGTGACTCGTACACCATTCCCCTCACCGTGCAGGAGGCCATGACCGCCCGTGACGCTCTGGCCAAGTTTATTTACGGCTCGCTGTTCGACGGCCTAGTGAAGCGCATCAACAGCACGCTGCCGTGCGAAAACTCAACCCAGTTCATTGGCATTCTCGATATTTCCGGCTTTGAAATCTTCGACTGCAACTCGTTTGAGCAGTTTTGCATCAACTTCTCCAACGAGAAGATCCAGCAGTACTTCAACCAGCAAATCCTCCGCCAGGAGCAAGAAATCTACCACCTGGAGGGTCTGCGCTGGAAGAAGGTCGAGTTTGAAGACAACCAGTCCATCATTGATTTGGTCGAGTCTCGCCGCGGCGGCATCTTGGCCCTGCTGGACGAAGAGTGCTTGATGCCCAAGGCCACCGACAAGTCGTTCGCCATCAAGGTCCACACGACCCACCTGAACAACGCCTTCCTTGCCAAGCCAAAGTTCTCGCGCGGCAAGAAGCGTCTGAGCGAGGATGAGGCGTTCGTCATTCGTCATTTTGCCGGCGAGGTGGTCTACGAGACGGCCAACTTCCTGGACAAGAACAATGACACGCTTCACGCTGATCTGACGCAGCTGCTCACCGCTGGCAAGAAGCAGTTTGTCACCTCCCTCTTCCAGAAGCTCACCGAGCGCGACGACGATGTGGTCCTCTCTCAAGGTGGCAACGGTCGCTTCAAGAGCGTGGGCGCCAAGTTCAACAAGCAACTGGCCCACCTCATGACCCAGCTCAACAAGACCACGTCACACTTTATTCGCTGCATCAAGCCCAACGCCGTTCAACAGGCCGGAGTGTACAACGCCAACGAAGTGATGGTTCAGCTGCGGTACAGCGGTAAGAACCCATGGGTTGTGGCGCTGGATGATTTGGAATGTTTTCATGCTTTTTTTTTGTTCATCTCACTTTGCAAATGGTTTGATTGTTCTACTCCAGGCATGTGTGCTGCTCTCGTTCTCATGCAAGCCGGTTTCCCCACTCGCTGCTCGTTCGACGACCTGTATGAGAGGTATGTGGCACATTGCTGATTTTCATTTCGACGAAAACATGCGTTTGATTTCATTCCCTGGATGATTGACAATTTTCGCGAAATACTCACCAAAAATGCTTCTCGGGTTGATTTCGACAAACTCAGGTATGCTCACAAGATGCCTCCGTCCATCGCGCGCCTAAAACCCGCGACGTTCTGCGAAGCGTTGCTTGTCGCGCTCGACCTGAACGGCGGCCGTGATTTCCAGATGGGTCTGACCAAGGTCTTCTTCCGCTCTGGCAAGCTTGCCTTCTTGGACGAACTGCTCAACGGCTCTGGAGATGCCATTGGCAACATTGTCGGCAAGGTTAAAAAGTGGCTTGCTCGGTACGTGCGACTGCGTTTGTTGATGATCAAATTTCGTGGAATCGCTCACATCTGTTCGAAAATCGTCCTTTCCCCTTCTCTCTTTGCTCTACTTTTCTTTTGGCTTGCAGCAAACGCTTCCACGCTGCAATTTGGGCGGTTGTGTCGCTGCGCCGATTTGGCAAGCTGGTGGAGGGCGTTCGTTTGGTCCGCCGCTTCCGACGTGCAGCTCGGTTTATGACGCGCATGGTTCGCATCTGGGTGCCGCTTGTCACCACCGTTCGCCGCAAGTTGTACAGCGAAGCCACTCTCAAGCAGCGCCGCGAAGAAGAGGAGCGCCGCCTGGCTGAGCAGCGGGCCATCGAAGCCAAGCGCCAGGCCGAAGAGGAGCGTCGCAAGCGCGAAGAAGAGGCTGCTCGCAAGAAGGCCGAAGACGAGGCTCGCCGCAAGCTTGAAGAGCAGAAGCGCAAGGAAGAGGAGGCCAAGGCTGCCATGGAGTTGCAGGTGCGCACGCTGACCGAGTCGCGCTCCAAGTTGGAGGCCGAAGTTCGCGCAGAGCAACAGCAGCGCAACCAGCTGGCTGCCCAGCAGGCGAGCATGACTGCCGCGCTTGAAACGACAAAGTCCGACCTGGCACGCGAGCAACAAGAGCGCCAAACCCTTGTCGAGCGTCTCAAGCAGACAGCTGCCGACAAGGACACGTCCGACAAGACGCTCAGAAGCACTCGTGATGCTTTGGAGGCCGAGCAGCGCGCCCGTTCCGCCGTGGAAGGGGATTTGCGCGTGGAACGCGAGTCCAAGACCGCCCTGCAGACACGCTTGGAGGCGGAGCGTGCCAGCCACCAGAAGGAGATTGCCGCCTTCGCTGCGGCGCAGCAGAGCGACAAGGCCACCGTCATGCAAGAGCTTCAGCAAGCTTCTGCCGCCCGAACCGCACTCGAGTCAACCCTTCGCGACACGGAGGAACGCAAGCGCCAGCTCGAAACGGAGCGGTCCTTGCTGGAGAAGTCACTGGCGGACGAGCGCGCGTCGCACGAAAAGTTCAAGGCAGACTCGCATGCAGCGGCCAGCTCGCTGGAGTCCGACCTTCGCGCCCAAATTGCACGCCTCGAGGCGCAGGTTGCCCAGCTCTCTTCGCAGCTCAGCACTGAAACTGCTGCGCGCACCTCGGCCGAATCGTTGCTTGCCGAGACCAAACGCGTGGCCGAGAGCGACCTGCAGTTTGTCAACACGCAAAAGTCGGTTGTCGAAGACGATCTGTCTGCGACGCGCATGCGCATCGCAAGCCTTGAGGGCGAGCTGGCGGCGCTGTCCGAGCGGGCCGAGATGGCGACCATCGAGATTGGCGTCATGGCCAAGTCGATCGAGCGCTTGGAGGCGTCGCTCGCGTCCGAGAAGGCAACCTCCGACACGATGCGTGCAGACTTTGCTCGCGAGCGCCAGGAGCAGACCCTGGCCGCTGAAACGGCCCGCATGGACAGCGAGGCGCTCGTCAAGAAGGTCAACACGGACATTGCCGTGAAAGAGGCCGTCATCCTCAAGATCATGTCGGACAAGAAGCGACTGGACGCCAAGCGTGCCGAGGAGACGCAGCAAGCTGCCGCCACCATCTCCAACCTCAAGGACGACCTGGAAGTCAAGGTCCAGACCAACGAGGCGCTCAGCACCGAGCTGGCCGGCCTGCAAAAGACCCACCACGATCAAAGCGAGAAGCTCGCGCTCATGGACAAGGAGCGCAACCAGCTCATCGACATTGCCATCAAGTGCCAGCAGTCGCAGATGAAGCTGCGGAACATTTACTCCAAGTTTAACAACAAGGAGTTTGACCTGGCCAAGATCATTTATGGCGACATTTCCTTCAACACGGCGACGCGCGGCGCTTCCAAGATTGGCGAGCTGAGCAAGCAGGGCGGCGACAATGTCAAGAAGTGGGCTACGCGCCACTTTATTCTCAACGAAAACTTTTTGTTCTACTTTGGCGGCCAAACGGACAAGGAGCCCAAGGGCATCATTCGCATGGACCAAGCGGTCATCGAGAAGCGCGATCTGACCAAGCTCGGGAAGGCGCACGGATTTGCCATTGTCATCCCTTCCGGCCGCGAGTACTTTATGTCTGGCACTGAGCAGGAGGTCGATGACTGGGTCAAGGCGCTGGAGTCGTCCGCGACCGTGTAAGCGCAAACAGTCCTTTTTTCGCCTCCGCCAACGACAGAAACCGTGCTCGATATTTTGTGCATTTGAACTGCGATGTGAATGAAGATGCTGCTGTTTATTGCTGTTTGCTGTTTGTGTTGTTTTTCGACCCCACTGCTGCTGCTGTTGTTGTTTGCACTTTTGACATTAAAATGGTGTGCGAGTGAGTGAGTGACTCGAATGTCTGACAAAGTTGCGCAATATGCGAGCATGCCCCCATCCACAATCCACTATGACACGCGAGGAGACGATGATCATCCGAGTTGCTTCCATTGCGCAATACAAACAAACCGAAACTGAAACACAAAATTCGCCGTTTTTGAGCGATGCTTTCACTCACTCCTCCTTTTTTACTATTATTTTTCACAAGCACTCCAGAATGTCTGTGAAGCCTGGCAGTCACGCCGTCGACCCCGAAGCCGCAGCAGAGCCCTCCGGCCCCCTGTTCAAGGACCTCCGCGCCGACGGCGAGCCCGACATTACCGAGATTGAGTCGCTCTGCGTCAACTGTGAAGAGAACGTACGTTCTTTTTTTTTTTTTTTTTTTTTTTCTTCACTTTGACCGTTCTCTTTCTTCAACGCGGCCACTCACTCGCCAGTTCCTCATCCTCCCCCAAAGCCGCCCTTCTGCTGAGTTGTCAACTATTTAACGCTGACATTTGACTTGGGCGGGAATTGAGTGGTGGAAGTGAGTGCGCTTTGTGTTGGTTCCTCGTGTTACGTCTCGTCGCTTCTAGAAGCACCCATGTGCCTGTGCCCATAGCGTTGCATTGGGGTGTCATTGCGCGTCCTTTCACCCCCCTACTCTTTCACTTCTGTTGCTTGATACAACACTGACATATTCGCATGTTTGGCAGGGAACAACGCGCTTGCTGCTCACCAAGGTGCCCTTCTTCCGCGAAATTATCATCATGGCGTTCGAGTGCCCCCACTGCGGCTTCCGCTCCAACGAAATCCAGTCAGGAGGTGTCATTCAACCTCGTGGCTGCAAGACGTCCATCCGAGTCTCCACACGCAAGGTAGAAGAAAAACCAAAAACAAAAAACCAAAAATGTGAATGGTGGTACTTTGCTTTTTTTTTTTTTCGTTTCAGTCACTTGCACACCGGCTGAGCTCACTTGAATCGTGCTACTGATGACAGGATCTCAATCGCGAGGTCGTCAAGTCGGATTCGGCCACCGTCTCTGTGCCCGAGCTCAACTTTGAGATTCCCGCTTCAACCCAGCGCGGTGTGCTGAACACGGTCGAGGGTTTGCTGCGCAAGTCGATCGAAGGCCTTGCTCAAGCTCAGCCACAGCGATATGTACGTACTTTGATGATTGAGAACGAAAAAAAATTGGCGTTGAGTGAGCGAGCGCGCGCAGAGCCTGCCTTTTTGGGACGGACGCTCAATTCTTGGCCATCCGATTTCTGTTTGTGTGTTTTGTTTGTGGTTGCCAGATGGTAGACCCCGAGACTGCCGCCAAGGTCGCCGAGTTCATTGGCCGCCTTGAGAGCTTGCTCGATTGCGAGACACCCTTCACCTTTATCGTGGACGATCCGGCAGGCAACAGCTTCGTTGAAAACCCTTGCGCCCCCGAGAAGGACCCGACCATGACGGTCGAGTACTACGAGCGCACTGCAGAGCACAACGAGGCGCTTGGCATGAACGTCTCCGAGCAGCCAGCGCCAGAGGTCGACCATGTTGGCACGGACGAGGTCATGGTCATCCCCTCCAACTGCAACCACTGCCAGAGCCCCGTTGAAATGCGCATGAAGAACGTTGACATTCCTCACTTCAAGGAGGTGATTATCATGGCCATGAACTGCGAGGCTTGCGGTGCCAAGACGAACGAGGTCAAGACTGGTGGTGCGATTTCGGACAAGGCCAAGCGCATCACTTTGCACATTACCAGCGCTGACGATCTGAGCCGCGACATGCTCAAGGTATGCGGACGACGATTAAAGTTGTGGATGAACTGGCGGTTTCGAGTTGAAAGCGTGTCGTAGTGGAGTTGACGGTTGTTTGCTCATTTTGTCATCTCCCTGTTTGATTTTTGGTTTGTTGGCTTTTGTGTGCACGCATCTCCAGTCGGACACTGCCAGCATTGCTATTCCCGAAATCGATTTTGAATCCGAGGCGGGCACTCTTGGTGGTCGTTTCACGACCATTGAAGGCCTTCTCCAGCAGGTCAAGGATGGGCTTTCGGGCGACAACCCCTTCGCCATGGGCGATAGTGCCGTCCAGCAACACTCTGGTGATTCCTTTGGTGACAAAATGCGCACTTTCTTGGAGCGTCTTGACAAGGTATGAATTGTGTTGGCGGCGTGGTCGCGTTTTTTTTTTGTTTTTTTGTTTTTTTTAGGCATCGCTACAATTTCACCTTCGTCTCACGCAACGGTCCTCTTCTCTTCCTCTCCATTCTTACGTAGGTCATGGCGGGTGAAATCGATTGCCACTTTATTTTGGACGACCCTTGCGGCAACAGCTACCTCCAGAACCTCTATGCCCCTGATGCCGACCCAGAGATGACCATTGAAGAGTACGAGCGTACCTTTGAGCAGAACGAAGAGCTCGGCCTCAACGACATGAAGACCGAGGGCTACGAGCAAGACGATGACGATGTCAAGGAGTCTGCATGACGCAAAGATGTTTGACCGTTGTTTCTTAGTCTTGATATCCATCGATAGCATCGTTAATGTCCATTTCTTTTGTGTCTGCTTTTTTTTGGTAACTCTTGATTTTCCCCTCCCCCTCCCTTCTACATCGTCCCGTTGCATGCAGCAATGCTCAATCTGGTCAAATGTACACAGTGAAACTTTGAAACACAGTGAAACTTTATCCACAGACAAATGCGAACGAAAAAAAAAATGAATTGCAGCAACAGCAGCAACAGCAGCGTCTTGGCAAGCCAGAGCGCTACTTAGGACTTGGGAGTCGGCTCTTTTGGTGCTGGGGCAATGGATGCAGTCGCAGCATGCTTCCGCTCGGTGGACGAAGAGGATGGGGCGGCGGTCGCAGCAGGTATGGCAACAACGGCAGCTGGAGTGTCGTCCTGAACTGTTAGCAGCGCGTCTGACGGTTTGGCCATCAGAGCCTTCTCCTTTTCTTGCTCCTTGGCTTTTTGGACTGACGTTTTGTTATCTTCTTCGATTCGTCGCTCCTTCAGTTTGGTCGCGCGCTTCTTCAACCGTGCCATTCGTTCGTGCATTGATAGCATCTCGCGTCTGAAGTTGACCAACTTGAGCTGGTATGCTGGGATTTTGGCAATCTAGCAAAATTGTAAAAATCAAACCAACAACGTAGATGAAAGTCAGCATCTTTGAAACCCCGATCCCGAGTCATTTTGCGCGAGCCTTTCCGAGCCTTTCCGAGCCTTTCTGAGCTGCCGCGAGCTTTTACCGTGTCTGTAATGTTCTGCAAGTCAGGCAGCGACTTGAATCCTTCGCTCTCATCGCGGATTGTCTGCAGCAGCAATTCTTGTCCGAGTCTGGTGGTTGCCCCCCACAAACAAGCAAGCACCCGACGAAGTGAGCTCCAGAACAAAAACCATGCCACACATCTTTGATGCCTCAGCAACGAGAGGGAGGCAGTGCGTTTACTGGAGTTCAGCAAGCTGGGCAGCGACGGCAGAGAGCTGCGGGACCAAGAGTTGCAGGAAGCCCGACGACGCGTCGTTCACCGATCCAGAGAGATCGAGGGTATCGAACGTGGATGCGAGCGACGTTGCCGCTGCGAGCTGGATGAGCTGCTGCTGCTGGAGGGACGAGGAGGCCGAAGCGGCGGAGGTCGCAGTGGCACCTGACGCCGATGCGCCTGACGCTCCTGACGCTCCTGGCGCTCCAGACGCTTGCTGGGCAGTGAAGATCTGCGACTGGCTCAGCGAGGACGTCGAGCGGGTCGACAGTGTAGACGACGCCAGTGGATCGTAGCTGTAGCTGCTCACGTCCATTTTGTTTTGAACCAGAGACTGAACTGGCATCTGATGCGCACACGACAGCTTGGATTGAAGGCAACATTCCCAAAGAAGGTTACATAGTCTGGATATGTGTATATGTGTGTGTGTTTTAGGACGCGTATGGGGGACTCGGGAAGGGAGAAGCTGGGAATCGCGGTTGCACAAAAACCCAATTCGTTCATTCCAACTCAATCCTCAATCCGTTGATTCCATCGGCTGAGGTACTGCTGTAATTCAATCCCGATGGTGCAGTGTTCCAAACTTTGGAGAGTCGAGAGAGGGTGCAAGAGCGAGAACATGCTTTCAGAGATCCCTGGTTAAAACTCTGGAGAACGCTTTATAACACTTTCAACTCTTTCGCAACGCTCAAAAACACCAGAATGAATCTGAGAACTCTTGAAAGCGCTTGATTAACACTTGAAAATACTTGATAAACGCTTGAAAACACTTGATAAACGCTTGAAAACACTTGATAAACGCTTGAAAACACTTGAAAACAAGCTACAATACCCAAAACGCTCAGTTCGCGTCAAGGTTGGCATAAAGCCCAGTGTCCGGGGTGACCGAGCCCCGGATCATTGCGTACTCGACAGTGGACGGGACGACAGTCTTGTTGGCAGCAGAAGCAGCGAGCATGGTTTCGGCGTACAGCCCCTCCTCTGGTTGAGCCGAGTGTGCGCTGTTGGCGTACTCGTGGGAGACTGGCTCAGCGGCCATGCCAGCGGCCACACCAACGTGCTCGTAGACGGGTTGCTGAGCAACCGATTCGTATGGGTTCTCTTCCTTGACCTGTTGGGGCTTTCCAGCTTTCGAGCTGGGGACCACAAGGAAAGCCGGGGCATAGTCGGAACCCGAGATGCTCGAACGCAGAGAAGTGGTGCCGGAGGACGTACGCGACGACGACTTGCTCGAACGACGACGGCGAAGAACCGCTACGACGGCAAGTAGCGCAAGGAACGCCACTCCGCCGACAATCGCACCAACGATCGGAGCCACGTTGCTTTGCGCATCGGTGTTGCCCGCTGCGTTGGCCATGGCCGCCACGGAAAAGGCAGAAGCGCGGGAAATCGACACCAGCTCAGCCGAGATGGACGCGGCAGAAGCAGCAGCAGCCGACGCTGTTGTCGCCACGGAAGCCGACGCTGTAGAAGCAGCCGAAGCAGCGACGGCAGAGCTGGTGGAAAGCACGGCCGCCACGGAGGACAAAAATGAAGCGGGCACACACGTGTTGTTAAAAGCTCCGAAGCCATCGTAGCATTGGGTGCAAGTGGTGGAAGACGAGCAACGCAGGCAATTGGAGGGGCAGCACGCCTCCTGCTCCCCCGAGAAGCAAGTGGCGCACTGTACATTGCACGCTGTGGTTGCAAAATCATCCAAATACAGACATCAAGTGAGCTACATTGCAACAAACTATCTACGATGGCAGCGTCGTTGATGCGGCACTCACGCGCAACCGAGCCGTCGGTGGCATAAAAGGTGCTTGGAGGCGCAGCGCCTGGAGCAAAGAAATTGGGATTGAGGGTCCATCCAAAGTCACCATCCAGACCGTAGAACAGGCCAGGCGGAAGGGTCGTCAGGAGTGGCATGGACGACAAATCACTAACAGGGTGCAGTACCAAACGAAAATCAGAATCCAGACCTCTGCCAAAACACACACACACACATGGGATGCATCGAGCTCGGTGTTGTTACAAGTCGGGAGAACCAGAGTTGCCAAACAGGTTCGACGAAAGGCTGGTAATCCTGGATCCGGCCAGCTTACTATGAATAGGAATGGAAAGAGCAACAGTGAATCGAGAGGAAACAAAGCAAGCACTCAGAGTTTGGGGCGCACGTACACCTGTCTACAATTGACGGGAAGCGTGGGCAAGCTCTGCAATAACGCGCCGGACAGATCACTGTTGAGTTCGCAACGATGGATTTTGATGAGTTGCTTTTTGCACAATTTGGTATCATGCCGTGTTCAATCCACGTCAACAACACCATACATTCCGTTGAGTTGGGTAAAGTTCGAAAACGCATTCGCAGGGGCGGAGGTAAACTTGGTGCGAGCCAGCTCTCTATAAATCATCGACAGTAAGACCAGCGTACAATCACCGCGTGTAGCAAAACCCGCGCATCAACATACAGAAACGTAAGGGTTGGAATGTCGCTCGGAACGGCGAGAATGTCAGTGCCAGACAAATACCTATGTACCGAAATTCGATTCAGCTTCACTTCGAGCATCGGTCACCTATCGAGCTGTATCCATGTACGGTTCTTACAATCCGGTCAAGGCCGGGCCCGTGAAGGCGTCGGACGGGAAAGAAGCGATGCGATTGTCATTCAGGTTTCTTATTTGTCGATGATTGTAAGAACATGCTTTCCGTCAGTACTCGCGCTGAAACACTGCACAAGTAGTTCATGTTCTTACAGCATTGATAGCTGGGGGAATCCACTAGCAAAAGCGTTTGATGGGACAGTTGTAATCTTTGTGCGCGCCAGTACGCTATCGCAAATGACAAACGTATTCAGCATCAATTCAGTCGGCCTTTTCGACAGATGAGGCACGCACGTACATTGAACGCAAAGCCGGTAGATTCTTCAGCGTGTTGATCGGAATGTCGGCCAGGTTCGACGACGAAAGATCACTGTGTAACAAGGCAAGACCGATCAGTTGCGTGATGCGAAAAGAACACCGTTCTCATCAAACCAACCAAAGTGTAATGGTTTGTTTACATGAGTTGAAGATTGGTCTGGCTGCTGAAAATCGTGTCGGACAGCTGCGTGAAAGAGCCACTCAGATACCTACATTCGACACCGGCAAGGTGAGCCGAAAGTAGACAAGAGGCAAGATGAACAACCAGACGCCACTTACAAAGAAGTGAGCGCGGGCACATAGTTGAAAGTACCATCGGAAAGTTGCGAGAGTTCAGATCCACCAATAGCGCTAAAGTACAGCCGTTCGTTCACATTCAGTGTAGTCCTTGTGCACAAAGCAAACCATCAAACCTATTTCAATGATCATTACAGTGATGTCAGTGCTGGCGCATTGCCAGAGACAATATCGGCAGGAACACTGGTGAGCTGAGTGCCGAGCATGGACCTGTCACGTTGATCACACTGGTCAGCATAAACACGCATATCAAACGGCAACCTATTGATTCCGGCGACTGCTGCCGCAAAGCGTACAGAGACTTCAGACTGGTGCTGAGTAGTGCGCCGCCGCTAACACTTGTAATGGGATTGTTGCTGAGCGCTCTGTCATCACAACCTTCAAAGTGAGTCGAAATCGCGAGCCAGGCAATCAGGCAATCGTGCAACGACCCGAGTGGTTGACTTTTTTTTTTTGACAACGTACAAGTTTCTGAGACTGGAAGCAAACGGGGTGATGGCATCAGCCGGAATGCTGGTAATGTTCGAGTTGCTCAGATCCCTGGTTTCAAGAATAGCGATAAGTTCCACGTCGACAAAGCAGCAAAAAGCCAAATATTGCACAAGTGTCATACAGACTGGCCAAACCGGCCAAGTTCGAAAGTCCAGCGACCGGGAAGGAAGTCAGACGCGAGCGCGAAATGCGGCTGAGAGTCAAAATTGTGGGCGTCAGTATAATTATCATGCAAGATGACTACAAGGTCGGTCATTCCGGCAGTTGCTTACAGTTCCTGAAGTGACGAGGAAAAGGCATTGACTGCAATCGACGAGATGAGCGAGCCCTCCATATTTCTGTACAATACGAGCAAGAATAAGAAAGATGATATGTACACTTGCATACCTCACTCACAGACTTACACGTGGACGAGTTGTGATGATGCCAAGAAGCCCGAAGGCAGAGACGTCAACTGGGTTTCGGTGAGCAAACTAATCACACATTTCTCAAGTCAGCAAAACCATGGAAGTTAATTCACGAGGGTGCGGGGAATCGATAAAAACTCACACCCATCGCACGGAGGTCAATGAAGCGAATGCATCGGCAGCCACAGTCACTAGAGGCGAATTGAACATGTAACTGACAAGGGAGACAAACGCACAACGTCAGAACTGACACAGCCACCCCAAGATTGTTTGCATTCAATGAGGGACAATGCAATGGTATTACAGCTCGCTCAGAGACGTAAGCCCGGCCAATGTTAGGGACGATAGTGAAGTGAGCTTGGTACCCGGTATACTCCTGATGGATGTTGGTTTTAAATCAATGAGTGCGCTTGCACGATGCTCTTGAGCCAAAGCAAAGCAGGATGAGCTCTCACAGAACGGTAAGTGGCATGGAAGTGAAGAAACCGTCTTCGATGCTGGTGAGATTCGGAAGGGTCAGCTCGCTAAAGGGTGACAGAGACGATAGGGATCAGTGATGTTGCATCCCTCATGCTGTTAGTTTCCGCAACACCAAACAATCCACCATACAGACGACGTAGGCTTGTTAATCCGGCGAAGTCGCTCGCATTCAGGGTAGTGACCAGCGGGAAGGCCAAGTTACTACAAAGCCAGCACGAAAGTGAGCAGTGGTTGGTCACAATTTCCCTGCACCAGTACACAACTTTGAGCCTCTTCCTACATGATCGAAGCGGTAGACAGTCCAGCAAACGCACCAGTCGGCAATTGAGTGAGGTACGGGCTTGACATGATGCTTGTTGGAGGAAGCGAAGTCAAAGGAAATTTTCATCAGTTCGGAGCAATTAGACCAAGAGAGTCACGATTGGCAGCATAAAACAATCAGCTTACATGTTGCGGACCGTGCGCGGGAAGATGTCATTGGTAAAGGAGGTGTATGTGCCTTCAAGGTTACTGGTGAAGAGCAAGTAGTGAGCAACCTGCCCGAAACAAACACGCCAATGCAAAAGTAGCAACACTCCTTACATCTGGTAGAGTGATGCCAAATTTGCAAAAGCTCCTGACGGGATCGTCAAGCTGGAGTCACGGAAAAATCTGAGGAGAGGGTGGAGTTGAATTGAGTGCTAGCACAAACCACCAACAACCAACAACCCGCAAACCAGCTAACAGGGTCCTTCTGCAAGTCAACGTCACGTTAGCACTTACATGACTTCGACGTTGGTGGGAAAGGACTCGGGCATTTCGCTCAAACCTCGGCATTCAACAAATGTGCTGGCGCAAGTACAGACCGAGCAAGCACTCAGGGCCGCGTCGGCATGCTGCGGAAATGCCGCGACAGTCATTGCAACTGCAATGCAAAGGAATAACGCCAACGAGGCCATCTTGCTGGACGACGAGGAAGAGGAAGAGGACGAGGAGATCATGACGCTGAAAAAACACACAACACACAACAAAAAAACAAAAACAAAAACAAAAACAAAAACAACCATTGAGTGACGCAAAATCCACCCCAGCTTTCATGCCACCCACTCAGAAATCACACCACCCAATACAGAGTGGTTTTCCTTTTTTTTTTTTTGAACGGGATGACGACATCGCCGCTGAACCAGTGCAAAGACCGTGACGTTCGTGACAGCGCTTTTTGAACTCTTGTGATGTGTTTGTTTTTGTTTTTTTGTTGTGGTTTTGGTTTCCACACAAATCGGCAAATGATCCCCCCACCCCGCCCCTTGGCTGTTGCTGGTGCTTTGTAGCATCCGTCTTCCAGCATACTTTTTTTGGTAGATGGATGCGAAGCTCAATGATCGAGGTGGAGTCGTCGAAGCCGTGGTTTTATAATCGTTGCCAAGGGATATGAGTCCCTGCAACTCATGTTGGAAACAGTGTTGGACTACCCTGCCCGCCCCTCTCTGAGGCAGCGCGTCATCCCTGGATGGAGGATACCAGATGGCGGTTCCTCCCCCCCCCTCCCGCCTCCCTCTTCCTGTCCTCTGAGCTGGAGCATGCGTCGAAAACGTGAGAGTCGAAAAAAAAAAAAAAAAAAAGGAAACAAAACAGAAACAAAACAAAAAAAACAGAGTCCATTGTTTTGTTTGTGTTTGTTGTGTTCGTTTTTGTTGAGGATTGTTTTGTTTTGTTTTTTGTTTAACGACGATCGCGTCATATTCCCGCGTTCCACTCTGCAAGCGGCTTCGGTTTCATCACGGTGGTCAAGAGTGGTCTGTTATGGTCTTTTTTTAGAGCACAATGCTTGGCATGGCGCAGTTGTGGCGAAGTGTCGAGTCTTGCTCGTGCTTTGTTTTTTTGTGTTTGATTGTGGGTTTGTGGGTTTCGCTGCATCCGCTCGTCGTGTCACACACACACACACAACACCCTTCTCTAGCATTGTCCCGTGCAAAGTAACAAGTGCGATTCAAAAGGAGAATATGCGACTTACACAACAGAAGCAGAAAAAAAAAAAAGAAGCAGAAAGGCAAAGCAGAAAAAAAAGACAAAAACGAAAAGGAGAAAAACAAAAAAGCGACTGAACACTGCCACGATTGCCTAATATGCATTTCCGCAATGTTGCTGCAGCGGAATACAAACCGAGTTGCTGAAATGCAGGCACCCGATCGTGTGCCATACAACTGCTCGCGAAGGCGCGGTACTGCAACAGCTTTTCGACGCGCAGCTTTTTCGTGGTTTGTTTTGCCAGTGCTTTCGTTGTTTTTGAGATGGCTTTTGCACCATCGTACCGAATTCCAGCCGAGGATATCGTGCTGATGTGGATGGACACAGATCTCTGCATGTCGCCACTTGTCAAATCCAGAACGCATTGGGTTTTTGGTTGGTGTTTGGACGGACTCGTGGTTTTCTCGGTTTCAAAGTGTCTAACGATCCGCTCAGCGGGCCATTTACAACAAGAAACATGATAAAGGAATAAATTCTTTAGCATATATCAAGCTTTGGAAATATGAGATAGTGTGCAAGTACGAGAGGACTGAACAATTGTCAACACTTGCAAACACTTGCACCAACACTCGAAAACACTTGCACCAACACTCGAAAACACTGGGACACACTTGAAAACCTTAGATCAATCAATGGGAGTATCACAGCCGGCTCCCGAGACAGGTCAGCAGGATCAGGAAACACGACAAAGGTGTGACAACACGCCTGGAAACAGTACACACAACGCCATAACAAGGGAACATGATCCCAAAAGTCTTGTCGGAAAACACTTGGATAACACATGAAAACACTTGAATACCACTCGGTGACCGCTTGAAAAAGAACGGAAAACAACACCAGAGCCTTGAAAGCCAAATCATAACACCCATCAATCGTTCGTGTTCGTGGGCGTAACCAACGGCTCTGCGTAGACCACATCTACGCGGGTAAATGGCCGAGGACTCGTGCCAGAAGCAAGGGACAGCTCCGCGTAAGTTTTGTCAACAGGTGGAATGGTTTCGTACACACTTCCGGTACTGGCGTCATTTGATGAGGGTGTCACAACACCAGAGTACCAAAGAGAATCGGTGGACGGCTTTTGGTCATACACAGGGTTGTTGAGCTTGACGTGCAGATCCTGGGAAGCTGGCTGGTTTGTGGGTCGCGAGGCGCGGTGACGGCGAATCAAGATACCAATAGCAATCAGTGCCAAAAGCAAAACTCCACCAAGAGCTCCGACAATGATGGGAAGGACCGACAAGCTCTCGTCGTCGCCTGTGGGCGCGTTGGATGCGGCCACATTCCTTGTCGCAGACACGCTCATAGTGGAAAGGCTGGACGTCGCCGACGCAACAGAGCCGCTCCCAGCCGAAATATCTGTTGCAGCCGACGTAACAGGCTGAGCAGTCGTGACTGACTTGATGGAGGCAATTGATCGAGCCGAAACAGCAGACTTTGCCGAGATGGAGGATTGAATAGAAGCAGAAGAAACCGAGACACTAGCTGCAGACTTGACTGAAGCGACAGACTCAGCAGAGGCAATCGAATTTGTCGAGACAGACACGGCAGAGGCGACTGAGTTTGCTATCTTCATGTAAGAGACTGACGTGATTGAAGCTACCGACGCCGAGTCGGACGATGCAGAGGCCATGAACGCTTCAGGACTCAAGCAAAATGTACTTTGCATGATGTAGCCATTGTAGCATTGTGTACAAGGATTACCGAAGCTGCAATACAAGCAGCCTTCCCCACAGCACGAGGACGACGCCGAGCATGTTTTGCAAACCGAATCACACTCTGTCCCAACAAAAAGTGAGAAGGTTGGCAAAAAAGGAAGTACGCAGAAATGACAACCATAGTCGGAAACGACACTTACTTTGTGGATTGCCGACATTTCCAAAGGTGCTGGGTGGCGCGACCGTGTTCCCGCCAAAGGAGAAGTTGTTTGAAACAAAATTTGCTACATTGAGGCTCGAGAGGCCGTAGAGCAAGCCTGGTGGTAGTGTTGTCAAGGGGGTGTTTTGAAGAGATCTGTCTCGAACAGGCATGTATGTGGGCATTGGTAGCGTTTGCGCACGCAATAAAAATATCCCTTACAATGCTTGGAGCCTGGTGATCCCAGCGAAGGCATCAGCATGAATACTCGTGATTGGGTTGCTGTTCAGAGTGCTGTGCAGTGTTTGCTGACATGAGTGTGACGGCTCTCTGGATGTCAGACACGTACGAGGCTTACAGAGAGGTGAGAGAGGTCAGGGCAGCAAACGCGTTGCTCGAAATGCTGGTGATTCTACTGGTTTGAATAACCCTACAACCCATGCAACGGAGCATCAGTCAGTTCGAGCGCCACCCCCCCCCCCCCACGGTTGCAAACCGCTGGTAGCACACGACAGGGTCGCTTACAGTTGCCTTTATTTCGTCAAACTGGTGAATCCGACATCTGAAATACTTGCAACGTTTGACTCAGCAATGGTACTATTTGGCAGGGTCATAAGTGAAATCCTTACAAGTTGCCCTCCGGACATATTTTTGTGAGCGTCGATACCTACAGCAATTTGGAGAGAGGGAGGAAACATCTTCCAATGGGCTCACGCCCTGGACGGCAGCAGCGACTGATGTCAAAGAGCCCGTCAGCACTCTGGAACAGAATCAATAAGTACGCTTAACATCAAGGCCACACCAGCCACATCATACTGAATGGTTCAAGTGGTTCAATTACAGCTCAAACAAACTTGGCAACCCAGCCAACGCATGATCCTCCATGCTCGAAGCATCGCGCAACGATCTGTAGAAACAACTGAGTTTAAACAGTGTTCTGGCTCATTTCTGTGACTCGGGCTTGTTACACTTACAGATAGGTAAGACTGTTGAAATTAGTGAATGTGTTTGCTGAAAGCACGACGGGCGTGGAATAATATAGCTGCCTACAAACCCCTCATCGGCTTTGAGATTGAGCTTACCGACAAAATAGTAAACGTCAACGGAGGGTATTCTTCTCGTCTTACAAAGTGCTGATGGGGGCGTTTGAAGAATCAAGGTTGACACGACCGTCGAGCCAAAGAAGCCTGCGCAGTCGACACGTCAAGGCGACAGTCATCGAAATGCAGAACAAACCCATCGATTGGATTTTTTTTTTGTGTTTCACTTACATCGTCCGCAGTTGTGTCAGGTTTTGAAATGCATCGCTGGTGATACTTGTTAGCCCCTGTCCTCCTGAGATAGAGCTGTCGGATGACGTTCATGTGAGTTTCGAACGAAAATACGATCTCTCGGCGCAATCAAAGGACTCCGCTTACATTGACGTCAGACTGCTCAGATTAAAAAACGACGCTGCGGTAAAACTG